GTTTTTCGTTGAGGTTTTCTTTGAGTTCCAACTCGTGTTTACACATTAGGTGGTAATTGACAATGAGTGAGTTCCTCTGGTGATTTAATTTCAAACGAATTAGTTATTAAATATTATGCAGAGCGTTGGGTGGCGTCGAACGGCGGTTTTTGTCGCGTTTTATGCGAGCGTGCGACGACGTTGGTCGCGGTTGCGCGTGTTACGCGCCCGAGGTCGAGCTGCTTTCCTGCTTCCAGCACCTGCAAAAGATCTGGCCGTGTGGCCGATGCCTGAGCAAACAATACAGACGATGATGCACCGTCTCGGGCGCATTGTCCGTAGCGAGTAGTAGTAGGCGGCGGATTTATCTGCCTACTCGTAGAGTCAGGTAGAGGGTCCTCGACCCTCGAGGAGCGTCGCGCGATCCGACGGAACCAGATGGATCTTCCTTTCGTTCTGGCTCGATTTCGCGCGGCCACGCTGACACCTCCGTTGATCCGTTTCGGGTCGTCGACGGTTTTATCTCCGATCGATAAATCTCCACGGCCGACGCGTCGTCGACTTCGAACCGTTAGATCGGGCCAGGGGTTCCCAATCCGTGGGGGCCCATGTTTTCCACGCGATCCACACGTCCCATTCGAATAATAGATCTCGACGATAATTCGATCGAACGGCCAAGCCGGACTGGTGAAATAGAATTTCGTTCCCCAAATTTTAAAGCTTTTGAAGAATAACGAACTAACAGAAGATTACGTAAATTTTCAAATAGGGACGCAGCGACCCCAATGATCTTCTTAAGGGTTAATATCAAAGTTGTATGTCTCTATTTTGATACTTGGAGTATAAAAATCAAATTACGTTATTTTCGAACCCGGTCTCCCGTTGTAAGTTTATGGTTCAATAAATTAAATCCCCGAGCAAACGCATATCGCACGACTAATGATATCTTTGGATATTCTTCCGGATTGATGTTGAAACATAAAGAAATAATATTGATAACTGTCCGTGGCTTTAATTGGAGTCCTCTTTAAAGTTGCATTCTCCCTGGAGACTACTGCAGATGCTTTAAGAGCCATCCGGAGTCGTTCTTATCTGAAACTGGGGGTAATAATGCATTAAGAACTTCCGTAGTAAACGATTTTGAACTTCGTTTTAGCACTTTTCTCCGCCCGGTAATGTGTGGAGCGGAAGATAATAGAAGTCTGTTAAGCGCATCTTGCAGTTTCTTCTTACGGTACTTTTTTATTGCCATGTACGTTCGAGACATTCTTCGGATAACTGCCCGATCAACAAAATCGTTGATGGCAGTGTGGCGGGGATTATGAACGAGAATTTTATGCCCTTGGAACACGTTAAACCATGAGTACTTCACAATAGTCTTGCTGTTCTCGGACCTAACCCCTAGAACGTGGGGACATTTATATACCCTGAAAACTACCCTCTTTCAACGGTTCAGTTTAGTATAAATATCTCGTTTCCCCAGTTTCACGAATCGAAAATCAGAAAAATGGCGACTCGTAGCGCGGCTAATCCCGCGCTGCCCCCGTCCGTATTTCAATTTCAACGCAACCGCTGATATCCAGCGCAAAAAGAGATTGATCTAGCGCGAAACGATCCTCCTCCGCGCGGCAATTAGCGCGGTCTATCATGGCGGAGTAAATTGCGACTCGCAAGATATCGAGGGTGAAAGTACAACCCGCGTACTAATCTGAATTCCCGGCGTATATGAAATTCCAGCGCGTGCCGCCGGGGAGGAATTCGTTAATTTGTTTTTTCCATGCCGGCGCTGTTAGATTCTCGGTCGCGCCCGCCGCGTCATGAGTCACGCGCTGATGCACGGAATTATTAACGCGAGAATTTATCACTTACGGTCTACCTGCGCGCCGGCGAGTAAATCACCGGTGATCTATGCGCGAGCCGTTGCAAAATATATTACCGAAGCACGCGATTATTCCGGAAAGTCGAGTTCGATGCCGGCCGTGTCGTCGCGGCGGCGTCTCATGCATCATGTGACCCAACATCGGTCTCGTGCCCTCCCGGTCCACGCGTTAACAGATCGTCAAAATTAATGCCCCGCTTCCCGTTAACATGCAAATTTCGCGACCTTTCGATTTTCTGCTCGAATCCTCCATTGTGAAAGATCTACCACACGAAACTATTCTTCGACAGCTTTTAAAAACAAACTAACGTGTCGTTTCAAACGTGTCCAGGTCCGGTTACGAAAGAATCATCCGGAATCGGAGAGGAAGTCTGGCAGCCATGTTGGTCCCGCTGGACGCTGAGAAAAATTCGCCCGACCTTGTTAGATTCTACCGAGAAAATGAGGTAAGTAGCGTATTAAGTTACTCTTCTTTTTGTTTGCCTTTGTTAGCAACGATCGAGAAAAAAATTCAATTCAAAGTTTTCTGGAAGGATGTTATTAGGGGTGTCGATTATTGCCGGGTCGCGCGAACCTAAATGCATGCTTGTGAATGACAGGGGTGTCAATTACTCGTTCGGTAGTCGCTTCTAAATGATATCGTTTGCTCGGTTTATAATTTACCCGCGATCGAAGGAAAGTAGAACTTCTCGTTTAAATTGCTTCGGAAATAAGTCACTCGTTTTGTGAAAAATAACAATGTCTTCCTCCGAGAATTGTAACTTCGACGACTAATTTATCGCTGTACTTCTAAAGGGGTGTACGAATACAATTTGATATTACTGAAAATTGATAACAAGAGGATTGAACGACTCGAGGGAAAATGTGAACCACGCACGGAACTTCGATAGCTAAGCTAGAACTTTTTCGATTCCTGCTTCGTTTATTCTCGTTCCCGTCGATCGTTACGACGAGAAAAAGTTTCACCCGGACGGCCTTGATGGATATGACGAGCATTGGCGTGACTTAAAGAAGGCACCGAGGAATTTCTCAAAGTAAAATGTCGGTGGTGGCAGTCATGGTTCGGAGCGCTTTTTACGCTTGCGACACGCTCCAGCTGGAGTTCACGTCTTATCGAATTAATTGCGCAGAATGCCAGCGGACTCTTTACAACCACCATCGTATCATCGTCAATTTCGGCATCCAGGATTTGTTTACCAACGAGGCGATGCCAGGGCCCGTTGGGCTGTACGATACGTCTCGAAAGGCGAATAGGAGTAAACAAGACCAACTTGTTATCGACTAGCCGACAATTTACAAGGATTTCAAGGAGCTCGACACTGTTGAAGGATTTGTAACCTTCGTAAGTTCGATTCGGGAACGCGAAAATTCGGTACGCGTCGCGCAAACTGTCCGGAATCTTTTTCTCGTCACGTCACGAAATTCCAGGACCTTTGGCACGGGCGTAGACGAGGCTCGTAGGGCCGAGCGCGGAATGAGCGCCGACGGTAAGTCAGTTCCTCGCATACCGGGCGCTCAGGTAGGTAGGAAGGCGGCGAACGTAGTGAAGAAGGAAAGAAACGAGAAACGAACCGCGAGAGAGACAGGTAGAGAGAAGGAAAGTCGAACGATGAAGAGGAAAGGAAGCGAGACGAAGAGTAGCAGGCAGCTCGAACGAGTCGAGCAGAGAGTTTGGTATAGTCTAGCTGCTCGGTGCCGCGAAGCGCGCTGAATGCCGGGGCCCTATACTACCGCTCCCCTCTCCAAGATGGCCGCCAGCTCGGGTCCAGCCGGGTCCCCCTGACCGAGCCTGCCGAGTCCGCCGAGTTAGGGGAAGGGTAGGCCTTGCAGGTGCCGCCATGTCAGTGCATGCCTAACCTCGAAGCCGCGCGGAACGGACGCTGGGCCCAAGAACGCGACACCTCGTGCTGCTCTTGCTTTCTTGCCATATTGCTCCTCCGGGCCAGGAGCGGACCGCGGACCGCCGTGTACGTCGTCGCGAGTCCGTGCGTTCAAGGTCGATCGTAGGAAAACGGGGGGGCCCCGATCGGAAAACGTACGCGAGAGCGAAAATCGCGCGAGTAGGGTGTCGCTCGAGCAGAAACCGCGATACGCGACGAAGGTCACGCGCATCGTAGAGGTCGGGCAGGCGCGTTGCTCGCGATACCAGAGTGGATACTGTTTAGGATCGCGTCGCGTAACGCCATAGGTGATATATCAGTGTCGTGCGCCGTTGGACAGTTGGTAGCGGAAGGCGAGCGTGCCGCAGGGACGGTGCTGTGTTTTCGAGCCGAGAAGGTAGACTCGTCTCGCTCCGCGCTCGCGTCCGCTGGTTCGACTGGTCCTTGTTGCCTGGTCGATCGACGATCCGGAAGACGGGAGCTGGCCGCGATGAGGAGAGGCGCCGCGAACCGGACGCGGTAGAGTTCGAAGGGTGGATTTTCGGAGGCAGACCGACGGTAGAAGTACGGGGACCGCGAGGATGAAGACCGCGGCGGGTTCGGCAACGATCGTCGTGCCGATCGTCCGTTTATCGGGCCCGTGGATCTAACGCGAGGAATGCACGAGATATCTCGCGGCCGTGGATATTCTCTAGCGAGAGCTAGGACAGCGGACAAGATCGCGGCGTGCCAGAAGGCGGAGAGGGAAAGAGAGATATAGCCGGGCACGTACGCGTCGGTAGAACGAAAGGAGGAAGAACCGGAGAAAACGAGGGGAGGAAGAGCGAAGAGCGAAGAGCGTGGTATCGTCAGGAGGGAGGAAGACGGAGAGAACGACGCGGAACGGTGTCGAGTTAGGCTCTCGCGTCCAACGAAGGAATTTCCGCGACGCATCTCGGGAGAGCCTGGAGAGGCCGAGATTGCACCGCGAGCTGAGAAAACCAGGAGACGATCGGCGGTTCAGTGTGTACACGGGAGGAAAAACCAGGATAAAAGGTGATTGTGATTGGTGGTGGTGCTGCTGGTGGGTGATCAGTGTACTGGTGGATCGCAATATCATCGTTTTTTTCACGTTGGAGGAAAACGCGCGCGCGCGCGACGAATCGTAAGCATCGACGGTGCTCGCGTACTCCCCAGATCGATCGTTCGGGGATGGAAAGATCGAGATAATAGCGCGAGACGGAGGAGGTGGTGGAGGCGGCGGCGGTGGTGGAGGCCCCAGGATGCGGCACCTGCTACTGTTCCTCGTCCTGGGAGCGACCCTCGCCCCGGGCACGTGGTCCGAGCTCGTCAGATACTTGGAGGTCTCGGAGAACGCGAGGCCCGGCACCCGAGTAGGCTTCATCGACGCCGACAGCCCGCCCTATTTGATCGTGTCGGTGTCCGGGTCAGCGGTGGACTCGGACTTGAACGTGGACCATGCGACGGGAGAGATCAGGACCAAGGTGGCGTTGGACCGCGAGACCAGGCCGTCCTACAGTTTGGTCGCGCTGCCGCAGAACATTCAAGTGGTGGTGAAGGTGCTGGACGAGAACGACAACGCGCCGACGTTCCCCGTCGACCACGTGGACGTCGAGTTCCCGGAGAATTCGCCGCGCGACGCGAAACGCGCCCTGCCGCCCGCCAAGGATCCCGATCTCGGCCAGTACTCCACCCAGAGGTACGAGATCGTGTCGGGTAACCACGGGGACGCGTTCAGGCTGTCGCAGCACCGTGGTCGCGACGGCGTCCTCTACTTGGATCTACAAAACTCCGGCTCCTTGGACAGAGAAGCGCGTTCCCAGTACCATTTGGTGATCGAGGCGCTCGACGGAGGCGCGCCGCCCCTTCGATCGCGGTTACGCGTGAACGTGACGGTGCAGGATGTCAACGACAATCCGCCGATCTTCAACCAGACGAGGTACGTCGCCAGCGTACCGGAGAACGCGACCGTCGGCACGCCGGTGCTCGCGGTGAACGCGACGGACAGCGACGCGGGCGACAACGGTCGCATAGAGTATTCCATCAATCGGCGGCAATCCGACCGCGAGGAGATGTTTCGCATCGATCCCGAGACGGGTATGGTGTACGTGAACAAGGCGCTGGACTTTGAATCGAAGGAACGCCACGAGCTGGTGATCGTCGCGAGGGACTGCGGCGCCCAGCCGCTCGAGGCCAGCGCGTTCCTCTCCGTACGCGTCACCGACGTCAACGACAATCAGCCCGCGATCACCGTGATCTTTCTCTCGGACGACGCGACGCCCAAGATCAGCGAGAGCGCCCAGCCCGGCGAGTTCGTCGCCAGGATATCGGTCAGCGATCCGGACTCCAGGACCGAGTACTCGAACGCGACGGTCACGCTGACCGGCGGCGAGGGCCACTTCGGCCTCGCCACCAGAGACAACATCATCTACCTGGTCGTGGTCGAGAGGCCCCTGGACCGCGAGGAGAAGCCCGTCTACGATCTATCGGTCGAGGCCACCGACGCGGGCACGCCTCCGTTGAGGGCCGTTCGAACATTCCGACTCATCGTCACCGACGTCAACGACAACGCGCCAAAGTTCGCTCACGAGAGGTACGAGGCGCACCTGCTCGAGGCCTCCGAGCCAGGAACCCCGGTATTGAAGGTAACGGCCGTGGACCTCGACGAAGGCGCCAACTCGGCCATCAAGTACTCATTGCTCAACTCCACGTGGTTCACGATCGACGAGGCGTCCGGCCTGATAACCACCATGACCCACGTGGACTGCGAGGCCGACCCCGCGCCGATTCTAGTGGTGATCGCGACCGACCGGGGCCGTCCGCCCCTGAGCAGCAGTGCGATAGTGCGTGTCACAGTTCACGATCTCAACGACAACGAGCCCATCTTCGAGAAGCCGCTCTACAACGCCACCGTGCCGGAGGACATGCCCGTTGGACGCTGCATTATCAAGGTAGGAACCAAATTTCATTTATTCTTAACCCGTTCAACGCGTCCACTGTCGCCTCAATGCTAGACGTTAAAGAAAATACATACAGTAGCTCTCGAAAGTAATCGAACGCGTAGACAAGAAACGTATTTCTAATCAATGAGATGTGAATATTACACTTTAATCGATTCCGAGACAGTATGTGGTTTATACAGATTTCGTAGAGTGTAATCTTTTATAATTATTCTAATCACGAACACGAAAAAGTCAGAAACCAGTAAACGTGAACGCGAATTAATATTGAAGTTGCATAATGAAAATAAATCTGAGAGGTCTGGTGTGGCAGTCGACGCATTGAACGATCCACTTGCATGTTTTAATGTACGTTTATTTAACGGATAAAGTCCTTTTATAAGATACAAGACGAGAGCAACGAAAGAGAAAATGAAATTTGTAATGATCGATTCTAAGAGTCTAGTAAATTATCGTCTAGGATCGATGGAACAAACGCACGGTTCGCGGGTCTTGTTTACACGCGATAAATCGATCGAAACGCTGTCCTCTAACCGTAACATTCTGCTCGAAGATACGGTAATATCCGAGCGACGCTAACTACTTCGATATTCGTTTTACGAGCGAACGTTGCGAAAGTTTCGCGAGTGACGAGGGAAGGAACAAACATGTCAATCTACCATTTTAACGAGCTTCGAGAGGATTGTAAAAGACAGGTCCCCGGTTCGCAATGTGTAAAACATTAGGTGTAGACACTTGATAATTGTAGAGATATAAATAATTACAGTACGATGTAACTTGCGCTATATACTGCGAATATCTGGCTGTTTCATCAAAGTCGCCGTGGCGCAAATGGTACAAGTTCGCGGGTTGTGTAATTTTTCTCTTTCGTTCGCAAATGTACCAGTTTCTCTCTTGCAACCGGTGGAATGCCTCTGGCTGTGCCCGATATGATACAGTTCATTGAATAATTATGAGGTTTTACATTCGCGATACGGCAACCTCGGTGATAGAGATTAATATATTAGAGCGTCGCAGAAAGTATCGAGCATTTTCAAGCCTTAATGTACTATACGATAACTGCAGCAAAATGCAATTTCGGGCACTTGACGTTGTCCCTAGAGCCAATGCATTCCTAAATACAGCATTGTTTGCATTAAATAATAGACGAGGAGATAAATCATCGCGAAAGGAGCTTACTAACTATATGTTAATACGTATACTTTATTTCGATAGGCTGGACACTTGTTGGATCATTTTATTATATTATTCCTTCGTGACATTTCGACCATCTCTCGTGGTCCTTTTCAGACACGGCATTCTATTAATGTACAGTTTGAAATATTATATGTGAAGAAATTACCGATAGAATAGGCGTACGAGAGAAAGAATATTTGCTTAATAGTTCCAGCGGATTAGAGTGACGTAACATTGTGTCTGAAGAGGACCACAAGCGATGGTCCAAACGTCACACCGTAATAAACGTTTCTAATGAAGAAATATCACCGTATACCAAGACATTAATTAACCTAATCATCATTGTACCTTTCACCAATGTTAAAAGTGACATAGGTTCAAGATTTTATAGCTAATCTCGATGCCTCCGTATTTGTGAACCAGTGTCAAATATCCTCGAGAAAACGAGCGTTATCTAGGGAAACAATTTTTTTATTTGATGGACGATTTTTCATTAAGAAATCTTGATATTTTCTGCGATACGAATAACCCAAAGCATATAATCTCTAACCAATTATATCCGTAAAATGATCGAGGATCTGCGATCTACACATTTAAGATCGAAGACGGGCTCAGTCCTTCGTTCGCGAATACTTGCGAGAACGTACGATACGCAGCAAAGGTTTATTATGCCCTTCAGCGAATTAGTAAACGCTGACGTTTGAAAAGTGGTCACTAAGTTATTCCCCTCAGGATATTTTCTCTGAAGCAGCGAACTAGATGACTAGGTGCACGTATCTATTCTTGTTGGAAGAGGCAAACTCGATTTCTATTGTAACTTATCTAGCAACCCTTCAGTGTCGTCTCTGACCAGGCATTGCAAACTATGCTCGATCCACGATTATTCCACGATCGTTCTCTTCGATTGAAAAATATATTATCGTTTGAATGCAGGTTTCTTTAACCCCCAAAAAATATCAGTAACTCGACGACGTTAGAAGTCCTCGCGAACGGTTTTCAAGATCGACGTTCGTCGGGCTTCGACAGATCTGCTAATTGATCTGTCATCGAGACCGATTGCCGACATGCTCGCGAGAGATACGTCGCGAATTAATAGCGCGAGTGAAGCGTCGGCGCGAAAGTGACAGCGCTCGGCTGTAGATCCGCGTTTAACCCTTGCATAAGTCGGCGGAACGTTTTGCGTAAAGTCGTTTCTACGTGGATGCCGGCGTCGTGTCAAAGGTTCTACGAACGCAGCCGGCCGAAAGGGCATCGCGGATGGCGGCCACTCGCGCCGCGGGCGAAGCGTCTGCGTTACGCTGGGAAACTCGTAATTGGTACCGAAGATCGAAAGGTTTTCTCCGTCGTGTTGCAATTAGCGTGTATCGCGAATATTCGATCGACGTTTATTCTGCCGCGAAAACCCGAGAGTTTGAGTCGCTCGCCGCCCGAAGGTGAAACAATCCTTTCGCCGTTTCGGTTCGTACCTGGCAAGAACCAAATGCACGCTGCTTAGCACCGTGAACGAATATATAATTGTTCGGTTTATACCGTAGTAGACGACGAATTAAACTCTTCTTACACGGCTTCCAGAACTCTGGTAAAAAGTATGAACGATCTGTTTATAATGGGAAGGGTTTCGATATATCGTGCTGGAAAAATTCCCATGGAAAGTCGAACGTACGAGATTTTAATATACGCGAGCATTTAAGTGTATTAAATAACATTCATATTTCAAAGCGGTCGAGAACTGAACCGTGTAGTCAATTTGTCATACTCAAGCCGGAGCAAACGCCTACAACTTTGTGGTTTAATTATCGGCGCCACCAATGTTGCGCTTAAAAATATTAAATGCTCGCGGCGTATACTATGTCGCTCGAAGATCGATGTGCTTTCGAGATAATCGACTCTCGAAACGGCGTCGAGGCTAAGAATTCTCGTAAAAGGATAGAATATGGTTTTCTTTTCGGAAACGTGTTGAATTGAATGTTTGTTAAAAAGGAACACGTGGAAGGGAAATTGATGTATCGGTTTGTTTGAAACGTTTAACCCTAGGTGTGAGTTTAGATCGAGTTTGAGTAACTTATAGGGTCTGTGAGTACTAATGGCTTTGTATTTTAAATATTATTGAGTTACGAGGTACATTTGTTATTGAGATATCCTAGATCTTGAATGTTCAGTTCTCCAAATTTATAATGCTAAAGAATTTCATAAAACAAATAGTATTAAGTGTTGGAAAGAATTGGAGTAGATTCAGGAATCTTTGTAATTGCAAAGACGCGTTCGCGGTGGAATCTGAAAAGTTTCGTTTCTAATTGTCGAATCGACGGGAAGAAATGTTGAAATAATTATCGACCGTGAAGTGTTTGAGACGGCGAAAGGAGTTAATTTGCATGCGTCGCGGTGCCCGGTGCACCGCCTCGATCGAGGGAATACGAGTCGCAGCGTAGGAACCTGAATGGGAAAAGCATCGTAAGAATACCGAGTGACGACGCGACTCGCATTCCCACAGAGGCGTTGCTATTGATAAATATCGAAACATAATCGATAATATTGTCAGGCTGTCGATAAAGTTGAGTTCAATTTACGTTAACACGTTTCCTTGCAAACGCGAGCAGCAATGTTACACTCTGCTTCAATTAAGATCCCATCGATAATAGCTAGTAGTAATTAATAAAACGCAATGTTCTTTTGCAGGCATTATGGAAGAGTATAAAACGTCGCAAGATGACAGCGATATTAAAATCAAATATCGAATAACTTATCCACGGTATTTGCAGTATTTTTGTTGGTATTGTCTCGTGTATCGCGAATTAAAAAGACACAGGGTGCTCCCGTCTTCGTCGTCTCTGGGATGCGCTACGCTCGAACACGTGGCTGGTCGAAGCGCGGGGAAACCTGTTGGCCACGTTTTCTTTGTAGCTACGGCGAGACGCTCTTCCCCGAAGCGCTGTTTCAGCGAGAACAAGTTGCTCTCGACACCGACGCTTCTTTACGAGCCTCGTGATCGGTATTATTAGGCGGTTCAGAAATAAATGGCTGATTTCGCGTGTTAACTTAAAATAAGCATAACTCGGTCAAAACGAAAAATCGACTTCGCCCAATACGTTCCAATCTTGTTTATCCCGGACCAACGACTGTTCATTCCTTACCGGTTCCATACAAATTAGAATTTCACTCGTAAATTAATCCCTGCACGTTCCACTGCAGTAGATTTTAATATTTGGCGATACCAGACAAACACGCCCCTAACTGGACCTTTGTAGATTGTGGTACGAGGAGCAAATGAGTCCCGTAGAATAGCCATTCAGCCGTTCCCCGTGCTGTATTTTCATTTCTGATGGCACTGAGCAAATAGGTCTGTAGATTTCTCATTCCGAGCCTCGTCCCCGGAAGAGTTGTGCAAATAATGCAGACTCCATTCACGAAAGGTCCAAGAGAAAACGTCTTTACAATCAAATACACTTGGAACGAAGAAGAGTCCTCGAGTCCCTGATCTAGTATAAATTGAAAAAGATGGGAAGGTAGCTAGGGGTAGAAAAGTGTTCTTCAACCTCGGGAACTTTAAACGTCTACTTTCCAGTGTATACAAGTGGAATTAACTCGGTAAAATGCCAAACAAAGAGTGTCATCCAACATTTATCTTGCAATTTTGCATATCAAGACGAAGAACGTTCCCGTTTCTGAAATTCGAGACGTCAAAGCGATCCGCGAGCGGGATTACGCGGGCGTTACCCGCCGTGGCCATTTACGGGCGATCGTCTCTCGCGCGGCATAATCGTCGAAAGTAATACTATACTTACGCGCTCGTTTGCGTACGATAACGAAGTCGTTACAGGTACTTCGTGGGCTGTCGAAGAAAACGAGCGGTGTAACCCACTTCTTCGCCGGCTAAATTTCTCGCCGATCGACGCGAAAGCGAAACGTTCTGACGCAACGCCGCCGATACAACAAACGATTCCCTGAAATCGTTCCGCGTCCGTGATCGTCTCCGTCCGATCCAGTTGCCCGGTTTAATCCATTCGCCATGCCGTGCAGGACCATATTCTAACGCGTTCCACTTCACCGGGGATCGGGGACACCAGAAATAACGAAAGAGTTCGTACAAACAGGTGCCTCTCGCGCGATCTCGTTCCCCGACGTTCTAGCCAGTTTTTGTCTACTTCGGTAACCTGCTGTTGCTCAACCCAACAGGAAGCGTTTCGAGCCACCTTTGTTTTAAATAGAAAGCGGATGTCGTTGCCGCGGAGTTTCTCAATACCTCGTGTTTCCTCGAATTCGGTGGTTTCGTGAACGTTTACGTCGCGAGCGCGACCTTGGTCGTAGCGAAAGGGTGAAGTTTCGACGACCCCGGCTCGGGATCGCGGGCAAGGTGAAAGGGTACGGAAGCGCGGAAGACGAGAGAGTAAAAAAGTCCGAAGATGAAACGGAGACCGCGCGTTTGATCGCAAGAGGACCGCGAAGGTAGTCGCTGCCGCTGTGACGAAGCGTCTGTCATTCATAACGTCCGTGATCCGTGGACCGTGGATTCGTGAGGCACGGAACGGAAGAGGAGGCAGAGGCGAACCGGTGGCGGGGAGAAGGAACGAGACGGTAGAAAAAGAGAAGAAAAATCCTCCCTGGTCCAGCACCCTCTCCCTCCCACGTCCGTCCATCTGGCCGAGCGAAACGCGTGCCTCCTTTTTTCTCCCGTTGGATTGTCATCCGCATTCAAGGGAGAAGCGGTGAATGCTCGCGCCGGTGCACGCCGAACTCCGAATGCCGATGGAAATTGCGGAGGAATAAACGAGTGCATTTTTCGATTGGCCCGCGCAAGGACGCGTCCGGCAGGCGGCCGGATACGCGGCGAATCCGCTCTTAATCGACGACCAAAACTCATCCGAGGGCACGTGTCATAGCGTTCCCTTCGAAAATGTTCGATGATACGAGCACGCGGCCATTTTTGCACCCTCGCGGTTCTCCGTTGCACGCCGGGAGTCTCGCATAACCGATTCCGTTAAGCTGTTTTCATCATTGACAGCTCAGAAGAATATCTCCGAACGTACACTCCGGATTTAAATAATCCTGCTTATACTATCGCGCGGCGGAGATGGCTGGAATTTTGTTCGGATAACAGACGACGATTGAAATTATCATACAGTGATTCATTCGTGACGTTCGGTCGATTCAACAGCTGTATTTGTATTTATTCATTGTGAAATTCTGTTGTTCGAGTCTTTTATCTAGATGAATTTTAGAGTCTCGAGAACGATACGCTTTCGATACCTTCTCGTTGTTCGTAATAGGAGATTAAGAGACGAATTGCACGAATCAGGACCGCCAGAATTCGTGGCGGGCAGGCTTGGCGAGACCTTGTTCGCGGAGGTCGAACTCGATGGGTTTTTAATTGCACAGCTTCCGGCCACTCGAGCTGTAGAAACGCAATCAGTGCTGGGGGTAATTCCGTCGCAAGTATCCCTAACGTAGATTGATGCAAGAAGGGAGGCAACATGCTATCTCGGTAATGGATTCTGTACATACGAACAATAGAACAGAAGACGTTTCGCTGCTCTGTCTTATCTTCTCCGTTCGACCAGATATTTTTAACAACGTAATCTCGATGGTCCCTGTCGCGCAGGGAAAGTGAGAATATTTGTCAGCCAATCAAACTGATAGAGTTCCTTAGACCAGCGTGAAACATTCGGGCAGAAGAATCAAGGAGCGGTGCACCGTCCCTATAATTTAACGTGGCCGTACCGTTATGGGTTTACGATACGTCAATCGCTATTGAAAGTCGGGAACTCCGAGGTTCCTAAGTCCTAATTGGAATTTGAAATTTTCCCAGCGACACAAAAATTTCAAGCGGTTTCATCAGTCTCGAATTACGACGAGAAACAACTGCTGTAGTTTGGGGATGCGTTCGAAATGAGCCAAAGGTTCGCAGGAACTATTTCCACCGGTTCTGCGATCCATCACCGAAGTGGATCTCACATGTCAGGCTACACCCTTGTATATTTTATTGCCGTTTCGTTGCCTAGTTCAATGATGATTTATAATTGTTGCCCGCTCGTCTGTAATTATTATAATTACAGATTTTTCGTCTGCGGGTTCTTCCAGACGTCTCCCGGGCCCGAACCGGCCGCGTCTTCTCGCTCCATCCCCCTTTGTACCGGCTCCACCCCTTGGAGTCCTCGTCTTCTTTTCTCCTTCTTTCCCTTTCTCGCGCCTCTTCGTTCCTTCCTCTCCTCGACTCGCGAGAAGAGACTCTCTCTCTGGATATACCTTGAAAACGGGTTTCGAAAGTCTCGTGACGCGCCGAATCCTCCTCGCGATGCTGTCGAGATTTCCACCGCGTCGAACGACTCGCTTTTCCGCGACCATCTAGAAAACATCTCTGCCTTTTCACGTACGGTCCAAACTCTGGTTACCTCGTCGTGAAAGTGTTGGTAAACGCGGTGTCTAGGAGTCAACAGCTACCAAATTATAAAGACAAATTTCGTTTCGTCATAGATTTCTCGTTTCACAACAGGAGACACTGACATAGCAATCATCACCGATTGGACACTCGAGATAATTGCCTCGTAGCTCGGAAACTATCGTGTGAAAGACTGTTCGAACACCTGCCGCGATTAAACGAAACTTGGAAGGTGTTAATTAGGAAAGTTAAACCCACAAAACCGAGAAGCAAAGGTGCACATCTTTGTTGTCCAAAATATATGACTCGACTGCCGGATCAAAGGCCGCGTTAACACAACTAATAACCGTTTTACGGTATCTTTGAAACAGTATCGCGACTGTACTTCTTATCCCCATCGAGTTCGAGATCACTCCCGCGTCGGATATTTTCGAAATTGTTGAGCACCGCAACTCCTCCGGGCTATTCTTCTCTATCAGAGTCCACGAGGTCGATACCATCCACGTTCGCGTTCGTCAGCATCTGAATAGGAGCCTCGCGCGAGTATGCGTGCGTTCACGCGTGAAACTATTCGTATCCATCAGGCGAGTATCCGTCTCTCTATTCTATGTGGCAGGACACGGGTTCCAATTCATCCTCGCGCAAGCCTTCCATTATCCGTCCTAACTGGCAACCGAGGATCATTAAGCCACGGAGCCTTTTGTCCGACTGTGCGCGTCCGTCCCGTAACGACTGACGAAGAGGGAATATACGCGAGAGCGCGGAAAGATGAGGACTCGTGACGTTGCTCGACTTCGGCTTTCAGAAACGTTCCTCTTCTTCCACAAGCTACGCCGCTTCCTCGAATTCCTTTCCGTGCTTCCCATCGTTCGACC